CATGTACTTACCTGTCTTGTTTCTCTCCCGTCCCCTACCCTGTCTGCATTCACAATGAGTGAAACCACGCTGAACCTTACCAAGGATGAAAGTCAAATTCTGCAGTAGAATTAAACATAACACCCTCCCAGGAATAAAGTAAATAACGCTTGACTTTAATGAGCAGCTCATGTGAGGATAAGGCCCATGCTGAGTCTTAAAGTTAAGGTTTTAAATTAAAACTAAACATATACCAGTGCGTAAGCCAGAAAATATAGGTATCTGAAGGTGCCCTAAGGCACCATGAGGAAAATATGCCACTTAACTGTCCCATGGGAAAATTCTAGGCTTTCCCCCCTTGTTTCCTCAGTCTGAGTTGTATGCAGAGCCTGAGAAGGCAGAGCCAGGTTTCTAGAAAGGCGGATGTATTAGTCAGGCTTCCCAAAAGGAGCCAAGACAATGGAAAGACTATATGGGGGTGAGTTAGATCAACGTATGGACCTGGGTAACCCAACAAAGGCTGTCTCACACCACAGAGGTCTAGAATGTCTCAGCAGTTTCAATCTGGCCCCAAAGCCCTGGAGAATTTCTGGTCTTCATTCTATTTTGAGATCCCAAAGATGTTGGTTCTGATAGGGGTGAGGAAAGGCTGCATTAAGGGGCTATGAACTTGCCAGGGACAGTTAAGCAAGCAGGCAAAAGCAAGGCTTTCTTCTTCTATGTCCTGCTATGTGGGATGCCCTCAGAGAGTCTTGCCCATATTTAGGGCGGATCTTCCTGCCTCGCAGATCTAATCAAAAATATCCCTCATAGGAGTTCTGGCATCTTGGACTCAAAGATGGTTAATACCAGCTACTACAGAACTGTGTAAATAAGTATGTAAATAATGTTCTCGAAGTTAAGGCCATGGGCTGGAGAGATTATTCAGCAGCAAGAAAACTTACAGAGGAGCCCAGTTTAATTTTTAGCACCCACATTGGTCAGGGGAAGAGGGGTTTCACAGCATTCTGTAATTCCAGCTCCATGTGATCTGACACCCTCTGGCATCTGCACAGACATTAATGTACTCAAACACATAAGTCTATGTATATATATTAACATATACACAGATTTAAACATGAAGATCTTTAAAAAACAAAGAGCAAAACTCTGTATTGGCGTTCTTTCCATGACATGTATAGAGCCCTGAGTTCAGTTCCCAAGACTGAAAAATAGAAGAGTGATTTAAAAGAAGCAACTGATTGCTTGAAACTAAAACACTTAATGGGCCTTATTTGAGTTACTCAGCTGTTGGCCAATTGGTAAAATAAGATGAGAGACGATAATACTACTTTTTACTTTATCGCCAATTGTACATTTGAAGTGGGAGAGCAAATCCTTCGCATCTTACTCATGCTGGCCACCGCCCCACGAACAGGATAGGTGAAGTTTGGTGCCTATCACATGCCCCGTGACCTACAGATAAGAATCTACCAGAAGCCTTCCCTAAGCTCTGCTTTGTATGAAACAGGAGTTTGATTTAACTCTTGCCATTCAATAGTTCCAATCCCTGGCACACCACCCGCTTAGAAATGTAAATAAATGTTGGTCATATACACATCTGAGTCCTGGAGAAGTAAACATTCCATTAAATACATTGAAGAAAGGAAACATGGAAGGGCTTGATGGTGTCACTCTGGTTATTGATGGTTAATCTCATTCTACCCGCAGCTTTGAGCACAATGAGCCCAAGGACCAGGAAGTACCATGGTCCACGGCCCACCCAAACTGCAGAGGCCATGTTTGTCAAATCAATAGAAACATGCTCCCATTATCTATTGATTATCTCCTTTAAAAATTATATTTATTTACTTTGTGAGTCGTTGTTTTGCCTGTATGTGAGCATGGACCCTGTGTTGGGCACTTTTGGTGCCCTCAGAGGTCAGATTAGGGTGTCTGATCCTCTGGAACTGGAGTTGCAGACTTTTTCAGGCCACCACGTGGGTGCTGGGAACCAAACCCAGGTCCTCCACAAGAGCCACAAGTGCTCTTAACCCCTGAGCCGCCTCTCTAGTCCTTCATTATCTCATTTTAACGTCAACGTTCCCCTGTAAGACAGTCTTCCTGTCTGTCTTTTCAATTACAAAATTTGAACTCTGGACATTAATAGGCTCCTTTGACCACAATATGCCTATGATTGAGTTGGCAGCATTCTCTCTACCAGGGCTGCTCTCATGTCTAGGTTGGCTCCTTAGGTAACAAATGTGAAGGCTGGGAAGCAGGAAAAGACCCAGACTTGCCATTGAGAATCAAGGTAGAAATAGCCAGCCACATGCCTCCTAAGAGGTAAAATTAGTAAAAAAAAAAAAAAATTCATGAAATATGCTATATTTCTGAAGAATTACAGGAGATAAAGGCAAACAGAGAGTGCAACCTTGAAGTTATGTGTAGAACACACATTTGGGTAAAACAGGAAGCCAATGGGTTCTTTTCCCACTGAAGAGACTTGGAGGGAGAAGACATGCAGCTTATCTGGGGAAAGAACTTTGAGATACAAAATGAGCATCTTCAGAATTTGCTGTGTGAAACAGTTGGCAAGGAGACAATGTAGGTGCAAAACGTAACCCCTCAGAGCGATGTGTGGGTACCAATACTGCATAGTGACACACTTGTGGCCAAATCATCCTTTCATTGACTTAAACACAATAGAATGTGGAGCCTTGTGGCTCAGCTTGTATCCTTCACAGAGTATCAGTCCTTCCGTATTGAACCACCACCACCTGAGCCCCCAACAGGTTCACAGCAATGCACTCAGACCCTCTCCCCACCGTATGGAGCTCCAAACTACAGTTGCAAAGAGAAAAGCAATTAGAGCAGTGTGGGATACTTTTCTCAAGTCTGGCTGGTGGGTTGCTTCGGATCCATCCCTGTTTTTAACAATTTCTTTCAACCTGACTTATAATTATGCAACTACAGTATCCACCAGAATCAATTGGTCTTCCAAACCCAAACACGTTTATCTTTATCTAAATGTAATTTATCTGAAATGCCATGTTTGTGTGAGCATTATATGGTACTTGCATAGGCTTCTATTTTCTTCTTAAATAATGAAACACCCTAATGGAAAATATTCCCGCTAAATAAATTTTAATGAGCACTTATTTGCCCAAACTGTCCTTTCTCTGAATGGCAGAAAATTTAATATGAACTTAAAATTATCACGAGCATTTTTTTACACTGGGCTTTAGGAATAGATCATGCAAAGATGAATTTTTTTCCTACACCTTCCTAATCTGCAAAGGCTGCAGTAACAACTTCCTCCCAGATGCAAAACGAGTGTCAGGGTCTTATCGTACATCTATACAGCAAAATGTCACCTCAGGACTCATGTCAAGGTGTAAGACATTGGGAGAACTTGAAGTGAGCAAGGAAGAAGCCAGATTGCTGCAAGGGGCATACATCCCAGACAATGTATATGTCTGCTAGAGAGTTTTAAAAATTCCACGCACCGAATCTTTTTCTTTCCTGAGAAAGGAAGCAAATGGGATGCATTCCTCTGTATCCTGGACGGACTAGGGGGCATGGGCCTCACTGGGCAGCAAGACTTAAAGCAGAAGCAGATGGAGACCTTGGCTAAGTACCTTCCAGAGGAGGGTTCAAGTCAGAGCAAAAATTATGAGTCAGCAGAGTAGGAAGGGGGACGAGAGAGTGCCCCTCAGACTGCAGAACGCACATTAATTGCTGCTGTGGATTTCCTCTGCATCCGAAATGCTGCCGAAGGGAGTCGTTGCCATTTCTGACTCTTTTTCTTTTCCTTTCTTTTTTTCTTTTAACAGAAATGACACTGAAAGGAATCATTTAGTTCAGTTCAAGAAATACATAACCATATCTCACAGAAGCTTCGGAGTATAAAATCAACAACTGCAGAAATGCTTCCATTTATCAGGGAGCTGCTCTCTAGCATGGGGGCACTCGGCAAAAGCAGTGGCAAGTGCCAGGTAGTCAGATTCTTCTCTTAAACGGTGCCAGTCAGGCGAGCACTTCCAGGGGGTACATGTGCATCAAAGCCTCACTCCTCCTGTCCATAGGAGGCTATTGGATGCAGCCAGTGAGCACAAACCCTATAGGCTAAAGCTGCTCCACTCCATGGCACAGGACTGCCACCAGGCCAATGGGCATCCTAAAACTATTCCTTCCTGGAAACAAACAAACAAAAGAGAACAAAGGCAGCTAATGGGAAGGGGACGGAAGGATATATTCAATATATAATATATATTGGAATGAAGAATTCCCTATTTCACAGGGTCATGAGCAATGACTACATACAATGAAAGAATGGTGTGGGGGGGGCTCTCACATCCCTCTTCCAGCTCCACTGACTCACAATGTTTGCTCTGACTTGAACCCCCCTCTGGAAGGTTCTTAGCCAGGTTCTCCATCTGCCTCTGCTTTAAGTCTTGCTGCCCAGTGAGGCCCACACTCTCTGCTCCATCCAGGATACAGAGTAATGTGTCACCATTTGCTTTCCTTCTCAGGAAAGAAAAAGTTTCGGCGCATGGAATTTTTCAAATTATCTAGTAGTTAAGGTTCCAGCAAAACCATGTGCAAGTACAGTAATCACTAGAGTGTAGTCTGGCCAAGTCAGATATGTGAAACCACGGGATAAAATTCTAGTCTGAATCCATTTGCATCTCTGCTTCCTATAAACAACAACAAAAAGTACCCGTCTTGTAAGGCGGGTGGGAGACAAACAAAAGCAGTGGGGCTTCATGGAGCATTTTCCTGGTCCCCAGCAGCTCCATAGCAAGCAGGTTTCAGCCCTCTGCTACCTCAGGAATGCCTTTGAACTTCCCCGGCTCTCCTGGCAGTTCTGTCCAGGATTAGCCCTCCATCCATGGAAACGACTAAATGATTAGAACACGGAATCTCAGAAGGATGTGGAAGATGGAATTGTTTGGTCACGTAAGGAGAAAGGGGGACAAGACAGCAGATATAATACAAATGATCTGGTAGCCGATAATGATAGCGTGTCCCCTTTTAATTTAGATATACTAATATTAATTCCTATTTTTAAAGCATAAACGTAACACTCAACAAACATTTAGTAGATGTAAAGAATTTAAATATTGTTAAACTTTTTAAGTTTAATCCTATAGCAACTAGTGTTCCCAGTTGATCTCCCATCTAAACGCTAGCCAGCGTGACCCTTGCCTACCATCTGAGACCAAGTATGTTCAGGGTAGCATGGCTGTATGCCACTTTTTCTTTTTGCTTTGATCCTTGCAACAATCTAACATTCCCAGCGAGGCACATTTCGCTACTCATTTTGAGATGAAGAAACGAAGGTTCGGAGGATTTATGTTGCTTGATCCAGGTTAATGAAGAGCTGGTGGAAAAAAAAATAAGATTTAAGTAAAAGTTTGGTGCCGAATGACATTGGCTTTACACAATATCTGCCTACGTGAATAAATCTCTCTGAAGGAGGTTCGTCCTAGACTTTTACAGTGTACCAGAATGACCACTCAACAGCTAACATGAAGGAAAACTCAAGCTAGAGCCAGAACCTAGATATTAACTCTTCTTGACTCACACACCTTCTGCCAGTTCAAAGCTGCCTGTCCCTGTACAGATATTTCCGTCCACACCCAGATGGTCACACCAAGAGTCTTGGAGGTCACCCCTAAATCTCAGTCCTCTACCAATGAAACATGCAGACAACTCAGTGTCCCCACCTCTTAAACATCTGTGAATTCGACTTCACTGGGCTGGTGCTAGCTGTCACCAGCCTTTCCCTCTTACTGTAATAATTTCCCAGAGCCCATTTTTGCTATCTCAAATTTGATCCCAGGAACCATCTGCCATCTTTGTGAAGGAAAATCCCACCCTTTCCTGCCTGCATCCTTACTCCCCAAGCCTTCTCAGAAAAGTCAGGTATTTTACACACTGAACATCACAGGTTGGGTCTACCTGTTCCTGAGGGTAACCTGCCTACTGTCCTCTTAGGTCCAGCACACCAAATCTCATCCAACCACCAGGCCTATCCATAATGCACACTCTGGGTGATGTACCCTCGCTGCCCGCTTCCCTATGCTTAACACCTAATCTCCTCCATGGCTTCTGAATGTGGTCTCTCTTTTTGTGACTTCTCTCCAACTCTTCATTGACTCCATGTAACAGAAACAATAGTGGCCTCCCTAATGATGTTTATATACTAAGACTGAAACTTGTGGGTAGGAAAAATTGAGTCTGCTGGTGCGACAAAGCTAAGGCGGTCAAGATGATAAAATTATCCTGGATTACTTACTCTCACCCATGAAATCACGGTGATCCTTCTGGAGGACACAAGGAGGCAAGAGAGAGGAGGGTGTCTCGTCAGAAGCAGGGTCTGGGCAGTGCAGTGACTGACCAGGCGCCATGAGCTAAGCATTGCAACCACCTCTAGAAGCTGGAGAAGACAAGGAAATAGGTTTTCCCTTAGAGCAGCCAAGAGGAGCCCAGCTCTACCAGCATCTTGATTTTAGTTACTTAAGACCAGTTTCTGAATTTCTCACTTCCATAGTTGTAGTGATGGAGGAGGGTTATCTGTCTATTGTGTTATTTTTATTGGTCAATAAAGAAACTGCCTTGGCCCTTTGATAGGACAGAAAATTAGGTAGGCGGAGTAAACAGAACAGAATGCTGGGAAGAGGGCTATGAGGCAGATGCCATGGAGCCAGCCACCAGGTCAGACATGCTGAATCTTTTCCGGTAAGCCACTACCTCGTGGTGCTACCACGAGATTATTAGAAATGGGTTAATAATCAAGATGTGAGAGTTAGCCAGTAACTAACTCTCTAGAGATAATGGGCCAGGCAGTATTTAAATGAATACAACTTATGTGTTATTATTTCTGGGGCTAAGCTAGCCGTGCGGGAGCTGGGCAGGATGAAAAGCAGGCCTGCCTGCAGCTCCTCACTACATTGTAGGATTCTCAAAATGCTTCATGCTAAGCCACTGCGTGAATTGTTACTGAGGTCACCCCAAAGGAAGCTAATGTACCCCTCAACTCAGCTTCCACTCCAAGTCTTCATGCTTCTCCCTTTTAAAATAACAGCACACTCCTACTTACATGAACCTATTTCATACACACCTCATGTGCATAATCATGCATCGCTGTGTGTCTTCCACGCTACACAGAAGCAGATGCTGTCTATGTGAGAGCATTCGTCAACCTTCCTCGGGTGTCTAAGTTTGGATAACAATGAAATGAGAGGTCGGGGGAAATACAGAGAATGCCTAAGGAGCAGACTCTCCAGGACTCTATCATCTGCCTTCACTGCTGGACTTAGCTGTGACCAAGACTCAGTTTCTACCTGCTGTGGGGTGCAGTGACAAGGAACTAGGCAGTAGTCTCCTTGTGAGGAGAGGGGAGCATTTCTGAGCACCTAGCATGTACGCATACATTTTATCCCAGTTGTGACTTGAAAGAGAAATGTCTCTCAGAGGCTCATGTGTCTGAACACTTGGTGCCCAGCTTGTGGTACTGTTTAGGGATATATTGTAGAATGGTTAGCATATGGCAGGTGAACCCTTGCTGTAAAAAGTGGGTCACTGAGGGAGGACCTTAAAAGCGTAGAGCTTGGCCCCACTTGCTGCTCACTCTCTGCTTCTTAACTGTATACTTTGCATGAGCAGCCAGCCTCCTGCTGTGGGAGCACATTCAGCCAATAGCCTTTAAGAGACGAGCCCACTTGGGCATGGTCTCTGATACTGTAAAAGCAGCTGTAAAGTGTCCCCTCCCTCTCTTGCTTCCAGCTCTCGCTTCCAGCAGCTAGACTCTGTTCCTGTTCATGCAGAGGACTGTTATCTAGGACAGTGATCTGTAAGTTTTCCCTTAAATAAATAGCCCTTTATTATTCATAATTCTAAACTAGTGTGGGATTATTTTGTGACTTTTATCATCAGCCTCCTGCTCCTGTCTGATGCCCCTCACCATGAGGGATTGTAGCCCCTGGAATTGTAAAACGAACTAAATCAACTTTTTCTCCCTTAAGCTGTTTTGGTCAAGGCGTTTTATTATAGCAACAGAAAGATCATTGAGACAGGTCATTAAAGAACACCCCCAAATCAGCATAATGACAAAACTCCTGTTCAAGAGGAGGTAGTGGTAGTCTGGTATTGTGCTTGAATTAATCTATTAGAAAGTTAGATATATCCAGCTTCCACCTGTGGCTCTAGTAGTCACAGCTAAGATAATGGAGTCACACCTATTATTTCAAAGTCAGTGTGTCATGCCCACTTCATGTGTCTGTCCCTAAGCTTAAAGAAGAGCATGCAGATTAGATCCCTGACACATATCACATCATAAATAAATTATGAAATATCATTGTTAATATCGCTGCAATTTTTATTCTGCTCAGAGAAAAGGAAGGCAATCTCATTTATTGAGGGCTCTGACTAACCAGACACTTTCTCAGGCAAGATCCATCTTATTCTTCACAACCTTCCACTCACACATCCTTGTCTAGTGAAGTAGACGCCGTCATTTCCATCCCGCAGGGAAGGAGCCAGCCTGGATGGTGGTGGGAGCTGTCCGGGATCACGTGGTGTGGAAATGGTGGGATGCTTGTTGAGTCATGCTGGGTGGCTGCAACGAAAACAGAATGAGCTGCTCATTTACTCTCTGAAAGAACAATCGGGACCTCGACGAGAACACTGTGACACGCACTCAGACTTGAGCGTGAAGTTCCTGAGCAGAAGAAATTGGCAGAGCCTGCTGCTGACGACGGGAAGGTAATCAACAGGAGAAAAGTTCAAAGAGAATGCAATTCTTTCTGCCTTCTTTGAAACAGCTGATTTCCCTAGACAAATGGAGAGCCAAATTCTTATAATTACCTCCGCACACATTCCTGTCATTTCCTATACTCGCAGAAAGTACGTTTTCATTTTTAAGTTAAGGAAGAAAACAGAGGTGCCATTTTTCATATTCTTCCAGTCTGCGAGTCCTCTCCCCACTCACTTCTCTATTACGCTCGTCAGCACAACATGGTATCAAGACTGTCTTCAGTAAGTGAAAAAGTGCATCTAGGAGGAAAAAAAAACAATGAGAGCAATGTATTCTGTATCTCATTAGTGTGAAAATATAATGAACTGCTTCCTCGTTCTTAGAAAGGGGGAACGCGGGGCTTCTCTCTCAGTGGCACATAAAGTGTTCTGGCAAGAAGTGTCTGACGAGCAGGAGTGTCAGCGCATCAGGACAGATGTGGTTCGACACAGTGGCTTGCTGACCCATTCTCCTAGACGGTTAACTGCTTCCAAGTGCCCATGTCTTACGGTATTATCCTCAATCAAGGGAAATCTATGGTTAGCATGTTCTTTTCCAGGACTCGTTTGCCACTATGGAGGTGCGTGTGCTGTGGAATGAGGGGGAATGGGCATGGGCGGTCTCGATGACAGGTATCTCGATGACAGGTATCTCCAGGATGTCCAAGCTTTTGACAGTGCAGCCTTGTGGACTGCAGAGTCCACACACCTACCACACTTCAAGTGACCTTGTCTGTCCCTTAGATGTTGGGCAGAGATCACACTGACACCTTTTGGCAACTGCTGACCTCATTGTTTCCTTCCCTAACCCCATCTGACATTCCAGTTGGTCATACCTTTCTAAAGCAGTAGCGCATCTTAGACACAGAGCCAAGAACCACTCATTAGCCAGAATGGATTTTTATACATTTGTAAAATTAACCTTATTAGAATAATCAGTGCTAGGGCTCCTCCAAGAAGCCAGTGGGAGAGTGGTAGGTCCAGTCTGTGGTCTCCAACTTCTATCTTTGCTAGGCCTGCCTTAGAGTCACAGGGAGTCCAAGAGGCAATGTGAACCCTGGTCTCGAACACGTCTCCACGGACAGAGGGACCTGGCCAGCTTCAGTCCCCACATGGGGACCGTGAGACAGTATTTGAGTCACAAGAAGCAACTGGTGCCCAGGAGAATGGCTAGAAATCAAGTCCACATGTGGGAAGCAGGTGGGGCAAGGGGGGAAAATAAATTGTTTATACAACAAACGGTACAGGAGATTCCTGTTGGTGAAACAATGTAATGTGAGTGATTGAGTGACGCTTTTACTAAATACACCGTGAGCTGGAGAAACAGCGCGGTGGGTAATACGCTTGTCACATTAACGTGACAACCTGAGTCTGAATCCCCGGAACCCACATAAAGCTGGACATCTATAATCTCAATATTCCTACAGCAAGATGGGAGACAGAGACAGAATTCCCAGGAACCTTCAGACCAGGTAACCTGACATACACAGCACTGTCTCAAACAAGGTCTGCTGTGCAGACTGATCCGTGAGCTTGTCCTCTACCTCCACATCCACACCATGGCACGAGCATGCCTGCATTCGTGCATACAAGCTTACCCATGCATCATACACGCATGCCACTGAAAGATAATTTCCATATTTGATTTGTTTATCTCCAAATGTTATGATTATTAGTGATTATTTTTTCACGTTCGTGTCGCGGAGTTATTTTTTTTCTAATTTTTTTCCATTAACCATATACCGCTGTCACAATGAGAAGAAAGATGCTGCTTTCAAAAGCTGATAAACAGGAGCAGCAAAGATGAACTTATTACACACGCCGCCTGGAGTAGTTTGCCCTGGGCAGGCAGAAAGAAACTAAGGGCATGCGCCAGGTCATCTGGTGCCTTTACGGTGAGCAAATGCATGGGTGCGAACGGGAGGGAGAAAGGCAGAGGGGTTATTGTCCTGTGGAGAAAGGCAGATCTGTAGATGCGAGGGTAGAGAGGGACAGACTCCTGTGGGAGTCCTGCTTGCCTTCTGGGGCCATGGTGACATCCAGGCCTGGGCTGCTACCAAGAATCATGCCTGTGTACATGGCCCTGCCAGAGCCACAGTCTGTGTCGGTGTCCATGGTTCCTGTTACCACCAAATGCTGTGAGGATGCCACATATGGTTATGCTGGTGCCTGAGGGCCATGCCACCACTGGGACCAACCCAAGCTGTGTGGTCTGGGCTGCCACCTGGGGCCATGGCTTGAGTTCCAGCCAAGGGCCATGTCTGGGTCTGTAGCCCTTCCACCAGGGTCCATGTTGATATCCATGGCACCTGCTGCCATCAAGGATTGAATGGGTGTCAGGGGCCTGGTCTCCACCTGGGGCCATGTTGGTGTCCGAGGGCCACCCTGCAGCCAGTGTGGTGTCATCTGAGTGAACTGCACTGTCACCTATGACCAGGGTGCCAACCAACCCAAGCTGATGCCGGGGTCCGTATCAGGGTCTGTGTTGATGTCAGTGGCTCCTTTCACCACTGAAGGCTCTGGGTTAAACTGCAGGGTGGGCTGTGCTGTCACCTGGGCCCATGGTGCTGTCCAGGCCGGGTCTGCAGCAGGGGGACATCTCTGAGTCTATGGTCCTACTGCAGCCAGGGCCTATGCTAATATCCATGGCTCCTGGTACAATTAAAGGCCGTGGGGACGCACAAGGTCTGGGACACCCGCCACCTGGGGCCATGTTGTCATGTTGCTGTCCAAGGTCCACCTTGCAACTATGGCCAAACCAATCTGAGAGGCCTGCATAGTTACCAGGGGCCATGGTGACAGCCAGACCCAAAATGCTGCTGAAGACCACATCTGGGTCCATGGTCCTACTGCATGTTTATGCCTATGTTTATGTCCATGGCCTGAGTTCTCATGAGAGGTCACAAGGATGCCTAGCTTCTGGGTCACCATCTGTGGCCATGTTGGAATCTGAGGGGTGAATAGCTGTAGGGGCCATGCTGATCTTAGATGCCTGTGCTGCCATTTTGGCCATGGAGTCCTCTGGGCGGGACTGCAGCCAAGGGCCATGTCTGGGTCCATGACCCTACCACAGTCAGGGTCTATGTTAAAGTCTGTGGCTCTTGTTGCCACCAGGGGCCATGTGACTGCAGTGGGGTCTCTACTGTCACCATGTTGGAGTGTGAGGACCATGCTGCTGCTGGGTCCATACCAATCTGAGCGTCACATGCTGTCATTGGGTTCATGGTGACAAAGAGGCCCAAGCTGCTGTTGATGGCCTTGACTAGGTCCATGGTCCTGCTGCAGCTGGGATCCATGTTGATGCCCATAGCACATGTTAGCACAGGGCCCATGTGATTCATGTACCAAACCGTGTGTTGAATCACAAGTTGGGCTTGCTGAGCTGGCCGTGTCCCTTGCTGACCCAGGGCAAGCTGCCCCCCTCCTCACTGGAGAGCTGGGCCCTGTCCCTCTCTGGCCTTGGGGTCCAGCTGGCCGGGGATCACAGGTCCTGATGACCCTGGCACAGGAAAGCTGGGCCCATCCCTAATAAGAGAGTTGGCCCCTACCACATTTGGGAAAGATGGCCTCACTCTCCGCCATAGACATGGGAGAGCTGGCCTCGCCCCTCGCCTGAGAGCAGTGGTCCCAGAGGCCCAGATGGACCAACTCAGCAATCACCCAGGTTCACATCCAGGACTTTGAGCAGACACACCCCAACACCTACTCCATCTATGATCTGCTGGATCATAGATGATCCTACAGGAAGGGACTTGTCCTGCAGAGCCATTGTTGCATGGTCTACAGGACTCAGGGCAACAGCCAATGTCAGGAAGTTTCTGCAGGGTCCAGTGTGGATGCTGTGCTGGAGGTCAGAGGTCTTGAACCTGGCCAACAACACATCACACAATGGAAGGAGAGCTGTGTGCATGATAGACAGACAAAGAGGCAATGGAGAGGCAAAGATGGAAGTGCAAAGTGGTTTTTATTTTATTTTTTTCTTTTGACTTTGTTTTGTTTCTTTTTCTGTTTGTTTATTAATTAAAATTGATACTCCTATTTGTATTTCTATTTATTTTTTATTTTATTTTTTTCTTCTTTTTTATCTTCATCTCATTTCCCTTCTTTCTTTGTTAGGTTGTCTTTGGAAGGACACTACAAGGGTGAGGGGCAAATGCAGAGGGACTGGGAGATGGTGGGACAGGGGTACATGATGTGAAATTCCCAAAGAATTAATTTTAAAAAGTTACAAATGATCCACACAGCCCTGAGAGCAGGAGGAGAGGGGCTAGTCACAGAGCCAAGTGAGCCCAATAAAAACAAAATACAGTCATTCTCTAGGCTCCCCTGTGCCCCACAGATGGCTTTCCTCTAACCAATGTAATGAAGCATTAAAATGTGCACATCATCAAATGATTAGTTCTTAGACTGCAAAATTCGTCGACAGGCAACTGCCTTTGTATAGATCAGAGAGGAGTTGCTCAGAACAGGAACACATGGAGACAGCGTCCAGCGTCCATAACCCTCACCTCAGAGCGACTTTCTCTTCACTTTTTCCTCACCTGGAGAATCGGGGGTTAACAGGTAACACTCTAAGGGTGGGAGCCAAGGAAGCAAAGGAGGGGTAGGAGACCCTGGCCTGATACAATGGGTCTGAGACAGACACTAAGGACTAGGCTTCAGTGGAAAAAAAGTTCCACAGTCAATTTGGTGCCCATCCCGCCTGCAGTCTTTGGACAACTTAATCTCACCTGGCTCCACGGTCCTCATCACTATATGTGTCCACTCGCTCGTCTCTAGGTAACCAAGCTTGAAGCATAGCAGGAAAAACAAAAATTGACTACTCATAAAACGAACTAGAAAAAAGTGGCAACTGTGAATCAGAAACACAAACACAGCATCTCAACTCGGTAAACTTGCCATGGAGATGAAGTGTGTTTGCCTTTGCTTTGGCATCAAAGGAAAGGAAACTCAAACACTGTCACCCAATACACACTTCAGATAAGCTGCAGCAAGCCGTGTAAGAGAAAAACTGGGGACTTTCAACACAAAGTCAAACTGTCGCAATCTCAGAAGTCTGTAATCCAATAGTAGCTGCCAGATGCATGTGACTGGAAGCGGGGTTGACCCACAACAAGATAGGACTCTGGTGTTTTGCTAGGATTCTGTGCTCATTAGTTTTAATGTTCAACTCAACACAATCTAGAATCCTCTAGGAGGAGTCTTAACGAGGAATTTTCTGGATCAAGTTGGTTTATGGGCATTATCTGCGGGGGATTGCC